GGTTTATTGGCAAAATGCCTCCGGGGAACTCGTCCGAAATTGATTTTCAAGTCACTGAGAACGGAGGCTTTTTCTTCGCAGGATTTTGACCGTTTCACTCCGTTCTTTCGCCATTTCCCCACTATATAGCGCCCTGCTAGCATTTTAGGCCGAGTACCGAATCATCGTGCCAACTGCCTTTAAATACAATTTGTACGCTCACTCTGTGGACTCTGGTCCTTGTAGTGTGTAAGGAAATGGGTCTGCAGCTGCAGTAGCGTGCCACGCTCTTCGCTGAAAAGTGCACGGGAACGCGACTGGATGGCAGTGATATGGATGCTGTTTCCATACTTCGCCCACGCTTTCAATGTACAGCCCCTGCTCAAGGTGAAAATCCCACAACGAAACACGCACTCAGCAGGGAACAAGCAGAAGTGAGATCTTACAGATAAATAGCGTGTTTAGGGGTGTATGTCGGATGGCGTGGCTGGCAGCTGTTATACCGTAACTGGGACGCTGCTGGCCGTAATTGCCACCTCCACCGAGCCTCTGTAGCCGTCCTCTTGGTTGGGACAACTCGTCCACGCCACTTATCACCTTGATTCTCGTAATGATTGACCAACACTGGCAAGACACCAACATTGCGAACTTATGACTTAACTACGCATACTCGTCCGTTTTTGAGCTAATTTCCGACTTCTTTCGTCCAACCCTCGAATTGCGCAATTGCGAATTCCCCAAAATTCTGCTACCATTATTTGGACAAACAATTCGTTTCTCTGGTATTATTTTGTCCAGTTATCGACTAGTATTCTTCACTGCATTTCTGTACAACTGCGGCGATACTAATACAGCGGTAAGTTTTGTACATTGCTTAAAAACTTAGTTCCCATGCTGTTTGCTTGCTGGAAGAGCATAGTTTAAGTAATACCAGGTAAAAAAAATGAAATATGATGTTTATTTGTAGATCCAGAACAGTGGGGAACACGGAGTGTTGTATAAAGATGTAGAAAAATTGTCAGGAACTGTTGAGGGCAAACCATGAGAAGGAGAAATGAGCTGTGTGAGAACCGAAAAGAAGATGTGTCATGCTCCTATAATGGTCATAGAACTATGCTCTTCCAGCAAGCAAACAGCATGAAATTGAGTATTTAAGCAACCGAAGAAAACTTAGCAGTAGCAGAGGGGTTCGCAATAGAGGATTGGGCGAGAGAAGTCGGAAATTAGCTCAAAAACGGACGAGTATGCGTAGTTACGTCATAAGTTCGCAATGCTGGTGTCTTGCCAGTGTTGGTCAATCAGTTACGAGATTCACGGTGATAAGTGGCGTGGACGAGTTGTCCTATCCAAGAGAACGGCTGCAGGGGCTCGGTGGAGGTGGCAATTACGGCCAGCAGCGTCCTAGAAACAATATGACAGCTGGCGGGCACGCCATCCGACCGTCTCACCGTGTTTGGCTATGGTCAGGCGTCTGGCTAGGCATGCGGTGGCGCGGGAGGAGCGTGGGGGGGGGAAGGTATCCGACAGTACTCGTTCCCGTGCACTTTTGAGCGGAGAAAGTGGAAGAAAGAAAGCGAGCCTTGAGCTGTAGTCTCAACACGCGGTCTCATTAAACATTGGGAAATTTGATCGGTCCACTAGCATTCGTGAAAGCGCAGGGATTTAGAAATACGGTAAAGCTATACGAGAGGACCAGAATAGCTGCCCTTCGATGTTCCCATTCGCATCCATATGCGCAGTGGTGGTGACGTGTCCCATTGGGAAACTTGCGCGGCTCCCACATTATTATGTCCTTTCTTCAGTTCCCCTTTCAAAATACAAATTCCGAGACATCATTCCGAAGGTGAGAAGCTCATGAGTTTACCACAATTTGTAAGCTTATTTCTTTTCTTTGAAAACATGACGCGGCCATCCATTACCAACTGAAATTTCGAGATAAAAAAAATGGATCAGTTGCTTGCCCAACCAGGCGTGGCGAATCTCTGCTTCTCTGGTGTTAACAGGAAAGCTGCAAAGACACGTAGGGTCTTTTTGGGACAGTTCGATGATAAAACTGTGAAATATGTGGTGAACACAAACAGGGTAGCATCGTGATCTGTGAAATAGTGGGTTAGGTTACGCCACCGCAACAACCCCCGCCCCCCCCTTCTCGGGACGATGTCAGTTAGACCCTCTCCCCATGGGGGTCTCGGTACGACCCCTCTTCTTCGTAAACACCTACATACCGATTTCTCACATTTTCCAGTTTTTCACCCAAAATCTTCCATCTAGCGGGGATGGGTATAGTCAATGTGAAACAGAAAAATTTCCTTCAAATTATCGTAACTTTTCTACCTTCTTTTCCGCAATTTTCAAAAAACTTTCCTCCTCTTACCCAAAAATTTTCTGTCCGGGGGTGGGGGGTACACCTGAAACAGTGAAACAGGAAAAATCACGCGAAGGCAAAGGGCAACAAGGAGCAATTTTTCCCCAACGCGCGGCAAATTCCTCTATCAGTCACGATACGACCCCTCTTCCCAGCAAGCAACGACCAGATTACCATCCCCCCACTAATGTTTTCACACAACGATGCTGTATCCTTAAAACAAAGCTGACGAAAGAGAGAGGGATAAGACTGAGCTGAAAAGCCAATTATTCCCAAGAAACCCCTCAGAAAAACCATCTATTGAACCTATTTATGCAAATATTGGGGCCGATTGCCCGACACACCACGTGAATTTGACCAACCTCGCAGCGTACTGAACCAGAACCAATGGGACGATCAACACCATCATGATCACAGCCGAATGAATCACACAATCAACGCCACCTCATTTATAGGCAACATTGAAATCACAGGGAAACCAACGCGATCTCACGATCGTGTTTACTTTAATCCAGTCACACCTTGTTTACTTTGCATTCCGGAACAATCCCCTTCCAAAGACAAGTTCTCATAACAGGTTCACGTTTTGCCATCGCGCGCTTTCAAAACGTGGACGCCTGGTTGCTGGTGTGCTCGATATGATCTTTTCTCTGATTCTTTTATGGTTAGTAAATCAAACCGAAGAGAAAGCAGTTACGTAGCAGCGATCGTGAAACCGTAAAATGAAACAGAGATTAAAAATTAGTCGTAGGCCGTTTATGGATGGTTATGCCGATGAACTCTACATAGAATCTATCCGGTCATTTTTGAAGAAAGGGTGTATGAGAGGACACGGAGCGCAGCGCAGTCAGCACAGTCTTTTCGACCCATATGACATCCTGGGCCGGTTACAGCTGGTGGGAAGGGCTGCTCCGACTACGCTCACTTGTTATACTGAGGAATCCACATGGTGGGAGGAGGGACATTCATGGACGCTATCCAAATGTTGGAAACTTCCACTGTGAGGGGTGGGCTCTACTTGCTCGTCTCTTTGAAGGGGTCTTATCTTCCTTAAAACTATTTATTCCGTGCGCGAGAATCTTTTTCAGGTTGACTTCTCGACATTTTCCCTTCCGCTACACGCCCCCGTGCCCGCTACACTATTGAACGGTGACGCAGCCAAAGTCCTATACAACTACTACTCCCGGTAGTTGAGTCCAATAGTTGTGAGGTGGCGACCTCTACCTGCCCCTTCCTCGAATACAGATATGGAAGTCTCAGAAAAAGGTAACTGTCTGAGAACTAATACTGCTCTAGCAACAAACAAAAGAGGAGGAAAACAGGAGGAAAATGGTAGGAATAATTCTGTAAGAAATTTCCAGCGATGAAACGCTACGGCAACATACACGGAAATAACTAGAACTTTATTAAAGCTACATCATGTTATACACTCAAGGAAACAAAATATGAAATACACCGTCCAACAGAAGTTTGACAACATAATTAAGTGATAACTGATTGAGTAGAGAATAAAGTGACATGCGAAAAAAAAACAAAAAAGCTTCAGCGACACAATGAACAGAAGAATGGAGCATTATATTACCATAAAGGCAAAAGGAAACATTTACTGTACATAACACCAGATGATCGGAGAGAAAAATCTATACCATCTTCATTTTGAATCGGACGCACTCCTTACATCGGCAGTTGGCTAACTGGATCATACTAAGTATATAACAAGTATCAGAAGCCCGCCTTTTTCCACTGAAGATCCACCGAATTCTGAAAAATGATCCGAGATCGGCGGCCTGTAGTCCGAACTAGCGAATCATGGTCTCTTCAACCTTCCGGAACAAAAAAAAATACCGCGGAAAAGTTTGTTTCGGGAGACGGAGGAGATTATAATCTGCCATTTCGGACTTTAGCTTGAAGATCTGGACATTTTTTAAATGAAATTGGGCGGAGTTTCTGTTGAGGTGGGCGGGACTTCTGGTACCTACTGCGGTCTAGTTAGTCAACTGCCCGATGTAAGAGGTAATTTTGATTTGAAAAGTGCCCAATTTAAAATGAAAATGGTATACATGAACCAGAAATAAGCAGCACTTCTAGTAATATGCAATGACCAGAGGGCAGTAACACCGTAATCGTCGGAACACCGTCAAATCTTCAACAAAAACTAACAATAATCATCTTTTGAAGCATTCATGATATTAAATCAGAGATCAAGTTGCATTTGGTCATGCTGGAGAGATCTAGCGCTGCTATAAAACAAAAAGTAATGGGAAATCAGCAACAAAATGAAAAAGTTCTAAGGCAGCGTTCGGACTTTGCATAACACGCGTCATCACGAAGTCTGAATGCTGACTGAAGAAACTATGGACGTGGCGAAGAATGTGCTCATGGTTCACATCTCATACAGCGTGAGAGCTTGGAGGAAAGCAATCACTTCTCCGGCGATGGTACTATACATATCAAGCCAAGGTTTTTCCGCTGTTGCCAACGTGGCCAGTTTATCGCGAATTTCTCGAATCTGCAAAAAAAAACTGTTTGAATGTTAGCCTGACGATTGAAACAAGAAAAGTCCCCAGAATCGGGAAGATACGAAAACGGAAGCGCTCTGAAAAGCCATGCTTGGCTACCCACAAAAGAAGGAGTGCCCTTGAAAAGGCGGTTTCGTAAGGGTGCCTTTGGCTTGAATATTGCAGAATCTTCCTGTACAAGCTGTTCCTCTCACAAAATACTCCATGAAGAATCAAAATAGGTTGGAATTCACTAGAACCGCTAGATAGCGTTCAAACTTCACTGCGGCGCGCGTCGACATGCTACAATGGCAACAGCGCTCCAATCCTATAGACGTGAACGCAGCCACAGACGGTAATCCATCAATGCCGGTCGCTTTTGTCTTGAGGGAGTAGAGGAAAACAGTAGGGCAGTCGCTGTCCACCACACAATCTGGCAGTCGCGCGTTTTTAACACTCTCGTAAAGTCCTAGCGGCCAGTGCCGATCGATACCAGGCAGCGTTATTAGGCGACGACTACCCTCTTGTTCTCCCATAGTCTCTCAACACGTAAGCGAACAATGCCGATCGATTCCCGTTTGCAGCTGCTCCGCGCCTATGTTGGCGTGCTGTTGCAATTATAGCGCGTTACAGCCCGTCGACGGTCTCAGGATATCTCTCAACCGCAAAGCATTCTCTTTCCCTCCTTCTTCCTTCCTCCTTTTTTTCCTGCCTTCTCTTACCTCTCCTCCTTATTTCCTTCCCCTAAATGCTCGACCAGAAGATGCGAGGAGGGAACTCCTCTGGGCCCTCGCAGCGAGAGAGCATCCGGTTGACAGATGTCTTGTAACCGTCGACACGCGTCATAACGGAAGTATGAACCCTGCCTTGGAGGCACATTTCGCGAAAAACCTGTAAATACTCCGCTGGTGGAGGGTTTCAAGTCAAAGATGTATGAGTTGGCTGACTTCACCGTCAAGAAAGCCCTAAGTAAGGCCCCTGTGCCTAGCGAGATACGCAGATTCACTTCGGGCGATATTACAGACAAGAGTAACGTGAGAGCATGCAAATGAGCGAGACAACAGGTGCGACATTTATCAAGGCTAGATGTCGTAGCTGTTGTCTCGCACGGTTTGGTCACTTGAATTACGTTGCCCCTTGACGCCCTTACCTTACAACTTTCCAAGGCTAAAGCTGACAACTATGGTCTACATTACTTTTCCCCACGCAGTGATCGCGGAATGCATATTTGAAAAGTTCAAAACTACTCACTGAAGGAATCTCGCTCCGTAGCAGATTGCACACATCATGGATAACAGTCAAGTCATCTCTGTACGACAATGCGCTCCTCGTGAGTCCAATAAACAGGTGTGAACGATTTCTAATCGCATACACCTCTGACCAGGCTTTCTCACCTGAAAATGGTTATCAAATAGAAAAAGACTGGTTAACAAATTCAAGTTCTTACCTCCAAGAGCGCGTGGATTCATCGCTTTCTTAATGCGTCCCGTACAGTCACTGATCAGATCAGCCAGAATAGGCTTTAAACTCACGTGAGAACCATTGGCCGGCGATAAGTACGCAATGGCCATTTTGATGAGGGCGTTCTCTTCAACACTAATCTGCAAGAAGTGTTTTTGGAAAGCTAAAGGAAATCATCTCTGAAAACTTGGCGCAGTTAGTGGAAGGCATTGTTGAAATCTACTTATTCATGAAATACTTGACGACATGAAGTAAAGCCGCGTCTTTGCTATTCGAGGGAATCGCACCATTAATCGCGTCCACGCCATTCGGAACTCCCGCGACCGCGACAGACCCCGCTAAACCGCTAATTGTAGGCCAGCTGCAACATTCAAAGTTGATCTGTTTTCATCGTGACTGAATAAACTGCTATAGCGGTCCAATCATCAGCGGTTTAGCACACTCCATCATGGTCACATCAAAATCTTATCCGTACATACGAACGAAAGACACCCAGGAAAACGTCATGAATTCAGAGGTAAACATACCGGAATGGCAATGTCGCTTTCACCCATTTTTCGAGCACGGCTTTCGGCTAACTCGTCCAACTTTGTCAATAACTCATTAAAGGCTTCGTTGACAGTTCGAGGAGAAATATCTTCGAGCGGTAGTTCAATTCCGAATTGTTGGAACCACGCCCACAACAACACTTTGCCTTCCATCTGCAATGGGCTAACTTAGCCTGAATCTGTGTTGAAAAAGGTTCTATTTGAATGAAGAAAAGAACCAAAACAGTGAGCGCTCTGAGCGCTGTCGGCGAAGTCGCACAGTAAGGTGGGAGGGGGGGAGGGGCATATTTCAAGCATTACACGATTTATAAGCCTTACAGAATGGCCTGTACAAGCTGTGTTGAGTATCATTTCTAACTTCACAGGGGTTCACAGGTCTCAATCTGAACTAGCAAAATGCCCCTTCCAAGGCAAAAAGGCGCCAGGATTTTGTAAAGACCATTACAACTATGCTGTAACAACCATTCATTGTGGAGAATTAAAAGAATTTCAAGTCAGAAATGGACAAGAATACGGAATAAGATAACTTACATGAGCTGTCGTCACAGCAAGTGATAGAAGAACGGTAAACGGATCATCTTGGCCTTTCATCCAGTCCAGCAACTCGTATTGTGGAGTCAACAGGGCATATGTTGTCGCTTTTATAGCGACTCCCTTAAACAGAAAAAATTTACCATTCTTTCGGAACGTTCACAAAATTGGAATACCATAAAAATAGGTTGTTCCTATAATGATGCTACGCAGTGTATAAGGGAGGGTAAAAGACACCTCGCTGATGGGACCCTAAGGGCTTTAACGATCTGATGAACTGTCGGTATCTCCTTTACAGAGCGTTCATTGTAGGCGATCCGTCTGCTTGCACCGTGCAAGCGACCGCATCGCGCGATTGGATCACTCGGGTCGACGTGCATGAGAGCGCGGGGCTCTTGACGACCAAGAGGTCGTGATGAAAGAAATATCATGACACTTAGCGAAGCGCATCGAGGGGGAGGGGGAAAGTGAAAGAGGGGGACAGCCTTGAAGGCAGGCAAGTGAACCTTGCAGGACATAAATTTTGATGGCGCGTTGATGAATTCAGCATGCTTTTGAACGCCGCTTATGAGCAAGTGCCCTTTTCGCTTTGCTGTGCCACCGATTACTTCGCATACACAGTCTGGTTCGCTGCGGATGATGGGACGTCAGTGCGGAAGCCAGCAAGCGACAAAACTGCATCATACCGTTCGCATCAGTCGTTCTCCCCCAAGTGGTAACGTTTAGCTGCTCCGCCAACTGGTGGAAAGTGGTTCAGGAAAGCGTCAAACGCAGCTGCACTGACACGTCACATCATCTGCAGCGAATCAAACTTCACCGTCACAACTCGTCAAATTTACCGTGTCTTCTAGGAAGATTCTCGTCAATATAGTGCGAAGACAGTCCTTCTTCTCCTCCCAACTAAGTAGATCACCCTAAACAGAAGATTTAAGTGGAAACTCTTCGAGAACAAAAAAAAACACAGACAATTTAAGAAATGCTAACCGTTTCACGCAACGCGCGAATGAAAAGTCGTATGTAGCGCCCGGTGTAGATCGGGTTCGGGGTTTGAGTAGAGAAGACAATCATCATTTTCCTGCAAAATTTTCCATTAAAAATGAGAGCAACTAGCCCAATATCAATGTAACTCACTTTACATAATTCAACCATATCTCACCACTACCACCCAGCTCTCGACAAATTTGAAGGAATGTGTCCTCCTAAAGTAACTTTCTTGGAGGTCCTGCGCAAAAAAAAAACGCGAAAAGCACGTGCAAATTGAATTTATATATGCAAGCATAAATAAATTCGATATACATAAAAATAATTAAAAAGGAACACTAGGTCGAAAAGACAGTTCTGTCTCACTCTGAAATCTGTTCATTCAAGGATCTGAACCCTGAGATCTGACACAGAATCTGACAAGAAGCTGGCTAAGAGAGGACACCTGCGCAAGATACCTATAGCATTTGACGCATTCCGAATTTCTCGTCTGTCCGAAATTCCGTCTCAAATGTTGAAGTACTTTCTTTCCAAACTTATACATGTGAAATCCACACCTTCGTATTATGGATGTCCGAAGCGTCACAATTCTTGAAGTTCTTCTGTATAATAGTCCACATATCGCCAGAGTGCAGGTTCAGAGAACACTGAACAACTCGTTTAAGAAGTCTCATGATTAAATAGGTAAAACTAATCTTACCGTGGTCATTGCATTTGCGAACTCTTCAGGGTGCATATTCGCTATCTCGTCCAAACAACCAGCCAGATTCTTCCTGATAACTTCTATCTTTTGCTCAGACAGTAGGGCTCCTTGAAGCTGCTTTTGCACTGACTGAATGAAGATGAAGATATGAAAAATTATATTGGTTATACGTCCAATATAAACAACTGCCACTTTGGGAGTGCAGGAAAGATATCATTCAAAGGAGAGAAAGATGAAAGTAATGAATGGAAATTCTATAATTAAAGCTATTCAAGATGAGCGAACCAGTACAAGAAAACTCACACTTTCTCCGAAATGTTGCCTTTTTGCAACCGGTACCGACTCGGCACTAATTCCTTCACGCTTTCTCTTGGAGCCTTGTGGAGTGGTGGCGACAGCCACATGAGGTGAAGTCTCTATAAACACGAACAAGTGAACTGCATTGTACAAGTTTGCTCAGAGAAAGCTCACTTTGAGTAGAAGGCGCTTTCGAAGACGATGGTGGGGCCGAAACGGGTTTTTCAGCAGCTGATGACGTCTTAGTCGGTTTCTCGACCACTTTCTGTAAACAGTAGATTACATGGAATGATTAATCCTGATCAGATCATTGTTAGAAAATGCACCCCCCCCCCCAGCCCAACTGGGCTGATTTGAAGTCCGTTTGCATAAACTTTACATCTGTCAAGGCTTCAGGCAAAGTAAGTGAAGAAATATCTGCTTTTAACCAGTAAAAAACTGGTTTTCTCAAAACATCAACTGAATGTCCGCACAAATAACAGTTATACCTTGGCTGGTCGGCCTTTCTTCAACTGTTTACTCAATGTGGCGTTGAATTTTTGCATAGCTGCTGGCCCAGCTTTGAGGTCAGGCACTGAACGCTTTGCTGCGCCAAGAGCTCCGATGTTCTTCTGAAAACACGCTACCATGTCTACCTTGTCCTTCATACAAATTGAGCAGAAAATTAGAAGAAGAAATAGACAGAAAAGATTCTGTTCCCGCAAAAAATCGTATAAACCAACAAAAAAAAACCGAATATTAATCAAAACTCACTGTGGTTACTTTGGTGGCCACCACACGCGCCGCAATTGCGGGACTGGATTCTTGCTTTTTAGCCTGTCCAGTTACACCTAAAAAATTCCACAATACATAAAGAGCACTGAACTCACAACAATCATTTTCAGGCCGATCTGTAGAGAAACAAGCACGGATAACTCGAAAATCCAGTGTTAACCCAT